GCCAGTTCAGGAGCAGTAGTTTAGTTCATAAATCAAAGTTTTTAAGCAATCCAATCTAATTAAAATACAATCCAAATAATTCTTGATATTTAAAGTTTAAGAAGGATGTCATTAGATTAGTAAGACTTGTTTTTTCTTTGATTATTTTAAATTAACAGTCACCATTCCTGTTAGAAAAGAATGCAGGGAGCAAGATGACTTGCTAGCCCTTGTTCCTTGTTCCACCACATCCACTCCCCCACATGGTTCTATTAGCTGTGTTTCTTGAATAGAGATGCTTATTTAGTTCAAGTTAAGGCTCAGGCTGGTTAACACAGAAAAGTACTCTGGAACAAGTCACACAATACACATTCATTATCACTTCAGTTAACATTTCCGGCAAATAAGTTCTTTTAGAAAAAAAAAAGGTATATTGGATATGGATGGCTCAAGACAAACTTACCACATTTAGAGGAAAGAAAAATCAGTTATCCAGATTTCCTATAGACAGTGGACCGGGAGCATAAATTTTATAGTCAGTGGTCTTTTTCTGCACCTTAGGGAGGCCAGCTTGATGACATCTTATATTTAATCTTGTCCTCTTCTTGTAGCTTCTCTTTGCCCTGAGGCAGTGATCTCAGTCTCCCCCAAAAATAGATCTTTATTTCCCTATTAGACATCAGGACATACTAACCCAAGTGGAACATTGTGTGGCCTTTGCACTGAATTCAGAAATTCATGCCGAATCCTGACTGCCATTGTGATTGGACTTTGGTATAATTGTATACTAAGGAAAATATCTATTTGGTACCCAGGCTTCCTTTTTTTATACCCTTTTCCCACCGTTCATTTGTCCTTGTTCTTATCCCCCAAGTATTCAGTAACCTTGTATTTTGTCCCTAAAACCTACTCTCACAAATAGATCCAATAAATTCCATTTTAATTATGGTGCACATGGCTTGGAAAGCCTGGTATGAAGTCTATTCCAGGGGGATTTACATTTTAATCTTCTGATAGAGCCTAAAGTCTGAGACAGAAATTAAAGAATTTCAAGCATCATCAACCTTGGTGTGGGCAGTTTTTTAAAAAAAAATTTTAAATTGAACTAAGCCAACCCCAGCTGCCACTAAAAATAGTAAACTTGAGTGAACCATTCACTTTGATTCTTATCATCAGTTATGCTTGTTTACTCTTAGGCATTACAAATAAACCAACCAACTTGTTATCATACTTTTAAAGTATAACTTGTAGTAATCTTAGTATTGAAAAGAAGCTATCTTTAAAATATTAAAAATCTACTTCAAATTATAAGCAGTAGAAAGAAATCAGATCATATTTTGAATCCCCTTCCCATATCAGTATGGCCATGAGGGTTAAGATTAAATTCTGATTTTAAATATAAAAAGCAGGTATAAAGAGATATGGTAGTAGATGAGATGTTGTTTGTAGCAACAAAATAGGGTTTTTCCCCCATGTATACCTTTGGAATTGTGTTCCTAACTTCCCTTTTCCTTCTCTCCCTTCATGTGTATGTATACATACATATGTATATGCATAAATCTTCTTAAAATTTATGTCCATGTATATGCCCCCTTTTTTTTCCCAACTAAGAATAATTATGGTTCTCAAATGAAATAAAATCAGAGAATCAAGTTGGAAGGAATCTCAGAGGCATTCAGCGCATACCTCAAAGACTGATACCTGATGAGTGTAGCCTTTGCTTAAAGACTTTTAGTAAAGGGGAGCCCACTACCTCTTGGGTACAGCCCCATCCCACTATTGGATAGCTCTCAGTGTTAGGAAGTTTTTTCCCCCAAACAGGGAAGCCCAAATTTACTTCTTTGAAGCTTCATCCTATTGTTCGTAGTTCTTCCCTCTGAGCCAATCGGAACAAATATGTTCCCTCTTCTGAGTAATAGCACTTTAAATTCTCGAAGATAACAATCATCACATCCACCTTAAGTCTTCTTTTATACAGGGTAAATGTCCCTAAATCCTTTAGCCAGTTGCCTTTTAACTTACTATTGTCTTTTTTAAAAATGTGGTCCCACGTTGTCTCCAACATTGCTGATGTCATCAGATTTAGATGGAGGACAGCAAGACCAGCAATGTCTTTGTCCTTGGACCCTGTGCCTCACAATGGAGCCTAAGATTACATTACCTTTCTTGGCTGCCATTTTGCATTATTGACTCCTATTGAGTTTGTGGTCCTCAGACACCACCCCTTTCCCCCCAATCCTCCACCCCAACAAGCGCTATCTTCCCTCTTGTACTTGTGACGTTCACTTTTTGAGAGCCCAAGTTTAAAACTTTTATTTATCCTTATTGATATTTCTCTTAATTTAGCCTATAAATCTAGCCTACCAGGATCTTTTTGAATCTGGTGTTTCAATCATCTTTGAATTTTGGCACCCCATCTTCTCCATTGTGTTAATGATCCCTCCTCGCTTTGTGTCAAATGCATATTTGATGAGCATGTCATCTATGCCTCTATCAAAGTTATCAATAAAAAGTTAAGCCACACAGAACCAAGAACAGATCCCTGATACACCTCATTGTACCATTGATGACTTCTCTTTGGAATCTAGCCACTCAACCAGTAGACACCCCCCACCCCAGCCCTCCTGTCTCCAGTTACGCTGTCATCTAATTTACATCTCTCCATCTTTTTCACAAGAGTAGAGGTTTTATCAGAAGCTTTTTCTATAATCTGAGGAAACTATCTACAGTATTTTCCCAGATCTACCTATGTAGTGACCTTGTCCAAAAAAAGAAAAAGGAAGTAAGGTAGATTGGCATTGACTTGCTCTTGGTCATGATCTGCACCCTTTGTGTCCCCCATGTTCTTTTCTAGATACTCACTTTCTTTACTAGTAAGTTCTGGAATTTTCTTGGGAATCAGTTAAGCTTCCTGGCTGTAGACCATTCCATTCTCTTCCCTTTTAAAAAAAAATAACAATTAGGACCTTCACCATTCTTCACGTCATGTACCTCTTCCATTCTCAAAAACAACAAATGTTGGCTCAGCATAAAAATCTGCCAGTTCTTTTAGTGCACTGGAATTTAATTCTTCTGGACCTGGTGACTTGAACTCATCCTTTTGGGGGTCAACTCTTCATTAACTTTTATTGTTCTGTTTCTTGCTATTCAAAGGTCATTTTCCTTGACAGAGAAAACAAGCAAAATAAGGGTGAGGTAGCTCAGCCTTCTCTGTAGTTGGTTATCTGCCTCAAACAACAGTCCTGTCTCTTCTTTGATTCTCTCCTTTTCCCCACTATCACTTTCTTCCTTAAAAGAAAACCAGTCCTTTTTGTTGTTCTTGGCTTTTCTTAAATCAGCTTCAGGCTGTCCTGAACTTTAACACTCTTGACATTCTTATAAAGCTATCCTCACCACATTCTCTTTTACTAAAGGGCTTTGCTTCCTTCTTTTGGCTTTTTAAAATCTAAGTGGGGCAGTATTCTGTGCATCTGCCTCAGACTCCTTAGACAACACTTCCTTTTCCTCTTAATGAAAATTGTTTTTCATTGTGTCCTCAGAATTTTATCCTTGACTTTCCCATTTCTCATGGGCTGACTTTTTCTCTAAAATCTTGGTCCAGAGCTTATATAGTCCTCATAGCAACCCTTCATAAAAATTTCTTCCTCCCACACACCTCTTCCATCTAGGGTGTGAGCCAGACTATGCCCAGCTCTTTTTTCCATCTCGGTGCCAAATTCTGAGATAGTCATTTCCCTCCAAAGATTCCTTTTATTTCCTTCATACTAACAGAATCTCCCTTTTGAGAAGAATCTTATCTAGAAAAGAATGTTCCTTTCTAGTTTGCCTACCTATTTAAGGATGGTATTCTCCTTAAGGTAAATGAAGAAGTTACTTGCTGTTTTGATTTGGAAGTAAGTGTACCTGCAAATGTCTGCCTTATTAAAGTCCACCGTGACTACTATGCCATGATTCTGTGTCACACTTGCCATCTGTAGCCCAAGCTTCTCCTAGATCTTTCTCTCTCTTTTTTGTCCAGGTGAACCAAAATATTCTGATGACAGTTCCTCTTTGATTTCTGCCTCATATCTTCATCCTGGTCTTTTAGACCATGCTTTCCCTCTGGTTTCTGCATGATTCTATCTACTTAATATGCAATGCTAATTTGTGCTGCCTTCCCCCACCTTTGATTTATCTGGTTCCTTTTAAATAGGGTACATTCTTTTAGTGCCATATTCCAATGATAGGTCTCATCCCACCAAGTCTCAGTGATAGCATTGAGATCAAATTTTCCTCCTTGTGATAGGGGGAAATCCTTGTGGATTGTGGCATGTGTTAAATGATACGGAGAATAAATCCTTACATCCTCAATCCTTTCATTAAGGGGATGCAACCCTCCAAATCTTGAAGCTATGACCTTGTAGTCATGGAATAGATTTTAGCCTATCCCAGTAGGATACAAAACAAGTTCAATGAATCAACTATTCCCTCTACATGAATCAAAATAACCAGTTTGACTCTGACTGAGTGAACTAATCTGGCATTGTCTACTGCCAAACAGCCAATGATTTCCATTAAGTTAGGGGGTGGGGGGAGCCCGAGGTGGGGGAAGAACAAGAGAGGGGTGTGTGTGTGTGTGTGTTGTGTTTAAAAATGAAATTTAACTGCCTTTTATTTCACAGAACCTATGCCTTCTAAATATCACCAAACACCTTGCCAAATAGAATTTTTCATTGCAAATAACTGGAAAGGGGGTTGGAGTAAATATGTTGGCAAACAAGAATTTTCCTGTGCAACCCAATCTAATTGTATTTCTGAAAACTTTCCAGACTCTTGGTTCAGCTTAAGTGAAATGCCAGGTTGTTGATTAGGACATGGGCATATCTGGTTTTCTGTCCAGTCTTCTGAGTCAGCTTTTAAAATACAAATTGGTCTGTATGATTTTTGCTTAGTACCCTATGACATGACACCAATCTTGGCCCTCCTCTTCATTATGATATTTTGGGTTTGAAGATGTTAGTAATTTTCTGCTTTTCTAACAGGTGACATTCCAGGCTTGTAGTATATCTGAAGCCAGATACCTCTACGATCAGCTGGCTACTATTTGTCCAATTGTAGTAAGTAGAAAACGATTCTCCTGAAATGCATTTCTTTGAGTGTACTGAATAGATTTTTCATGGACAGAACTACTGTCACTGTGTTCTTTCTCCTCTTATGGTCTCAGTCAAAACTGGACTTGCATAAATTATGCGCTGCTATTAGATCTATGTTTAGAGTTAGTGGGCTATATAGATAAGAGAAATTAAAATAGATTGGTGACACCAAGACAGCATTTTGTTGGTGATGCCACCACCTGGTTTTTGAGTTTTGACTTATCCCATTCTGATGTTATCTTGCTTACTTCATTCCATCAATTATAAGAAATATTTCCTTTACTGAAAAGTGAGTTCATTTGAATGAAAACAAAATGATAAGCTATGCCAATTTACCAATTTGAAGGACTTCAGGACATTTTGGGGGGAGAGGGGCGAGGTACAAAGGAGGAGTTGAGAAGTCAGTCAGTTTCAAATTTGATAAGCACTAATCCTGGCTTTTATTCTTGTGACAACAAAAGCAGATTGCATGAGGCTTTTTAGTACATAAGAAAAAGCTCTGAAACATTATCTGCCAAAGCTAATTTTTGTTTGTTTTTAGATGGCTTTGAGTGCTTCATCTCCTTTCTACCGAGGCTATGTTTCAGATATTGATTGTCGCTGGGGAGTGATATCTGCATCTGTAGATGATAGAACTCGGGAGGAGAGAGGATTGGAGGTGTGAATGCTTTTTTAAATAGCCTATTTAAATTAAGCAGGTAAAATGGGGATGTTGTTTCAAACAGTATTCAAAACTTGTTTGAATTTTTTCTGTCTTGGGGCAGCCAATGACAAGTTTCATGTCTTTTTATGGGTTAGAACCTTCTGTGCATCTTTGGGCTCTCTGATTTCAAGGTTGGCATTTGGCCCTAATGGGAAGGGAATACAGGACTGTCACTACCATCCAAAGTTGGAGCTTGCTTCCTTCCTTAGTGACAACAGCCAGAAGTCACCCCAAATTGATTAAGTTCTGGTGGAAAGAAGGGAGGGGGGTGGTTTTCTAATCTTGATGACTTTCTAAAACCTGTACTTGTCTTAGCTACCTACTTAAGATGCTTAGAAATTTTTAACACGTATTTATGTTCTGTATTCCACAAGTCAATGGTTATGGCATTTTTTTAACCAAATAGTTTTATGATGATACACAATCAGTGCTCTTGTGTGATGCTATTTGCTTTAAAAGAAATGTAATTTCTTCCCAAGTCTTCACCATTATTATTTTTTAAATACATTTTTATTTTGTTAAATATAGACAATTACATTAAAAGAAACTTTTTTTGGTTTCTTTTTTCAAAACTTTATTTATTTTTAGTTTTCAGCATTCACTTCCATATGATTTTAAGTTCCAAATTTTCTCCCCATTCATCCCCTCCCCCACCTCAAGATGGCATGCAATTTGATATAGGCTCTACATAATACATTCGTATTAAACCTATTTTCACGTTAGTCATGTTGTAAAGAATAATTAGAACCAATTGGAGAAACCACGAGAAAGAAGAAAAAAAAAAGGGCAAATAATTGTGCTTTGATCTGCATTCAAACTCCATAGTTCTTTTTCTGGATGTGGACAGCATTTCCATCTTGAGATTTTTGGAGGTGTCTTAGATCCTTGCATTGCTGAGAAGGGCTAAGTCTGTCAGTGTTAGTCATCGCACAAAGTGGCTGTTATTGTGTACAACATTCTCCTGGTTCTGCTCATTTCACTCAGCATCAGTTCATATAAGTCTTTCCATTTTTCTGAAGTCTGCCTGCTCATCATTTCTTACAGCACAGTAGTATTCCATTACATACCACAAATTGTTCAGCCGTTCGCCAACTGATAGGCATCCCCTCAATTTCCAATTCTTGGCCACCACAAAAAGAAACTTTTAATATTAATTTTTTTTCAATTTTGAGTTCTAAATTCTTTTCTACCCTCCCGTGCCTCCTCCACCCCTTGAGAAGGCATGCAATATTACATTGATTATACATGTCTTCACCATTATTATTATTGAGTACTAACATATATAAGATTGTGAGCTTTATGGCATGTTTATTAGCTGTGAAATCATATGTTTAAATACCCATGAAACCAAGTAGTGAGTTATTCTTTGTGCCAGTGGAACTAAGTTCAAAATGTGTGTTTGTGGGCTTGTTTTGTTTTGAATTATGATTTCCAACAAAGTTTGTCCTTGCCTCCAAAGTAGATTTTTTTCCCTTCCTGTTGTTTCATAAAAACAAAAGGGGCTTTGGAAGTTACCTTATTGTAATAACTGTACTCAGAACATCCCATAAAGCAATTATGTGCCATTATTTTTTTCTTTAAAATTTCTAGAAGATTTCATCACTTCCCTCACAAATGTTTTTCAGCATCAATAAGTTTTTCATTTCCCTTAAGTTTTTTCAAAATTTAATTTAATTTTTTTGTTATATTTTGAGCTCTAAACTCTCCTTCCCTCCCTCCCTCCCCACCTCACACTAGAGAAATAGATTAGAGAAATAGATATATAATGTAAAGTCATACTAACTTCTGTTTATCAGTTCTTTCTCGAGAAGTAGATAGCATCTTCCTTCATAAGCCCTTTGTCACTGATTTGAATATAATAAAAAGAATAATTTGGTTGTTGACAGTTGTTCTTTGAACAATGTTGTTATTATCCCTTAAGTTTTAGTGTTACCTTTTCAGTTACAGTATTTTATTTATATGGCATTATTTATTAAAAAAAAATCTATTCTGTTTTAGCCTCTGAAGAACAACAGCTATAGGATTAGCAAATCTCGATATGATTCTATAGACAGTTATCTCTCTAAGTGTGGTGAAAAATACAATGACATTGATTTGACAAAAGATAAAGAAATCTATGAACGTCTATTAAAGGAAGGTGAGTACCTGATCCTGGTATTCAGATTTAATGCTCCATTTTTAGCTCTTCAAAACTCATTTTTGCCGTATTTGCTGACTGTTTTTTGTTATAAGTACGAAGTCTATGGTAACTTTTTTTTAAAATTAATTAACTTATTTTGATTTATCAACAATCACTTCCACAAGCTTTTGAGTTTAAAATTTTTCTCCCCCTTCCTCCCCACCACCCTCCCCAAAACGGCGCACAATCTGATAAAGGCTATACATATATATTCCTATCGAACATTTTCACATTAGTGATATTGTACGTAAGAATTAGAACCAATAGGAGGAACCACCAGAAAGAGGAAACAAAACTCAACAGAAGAAAAAGAATAGTGAATCGTATGCTTTGATCTGCATTCAAACTCCATAGTTCTTTCTTTGTATGTGGACAGCATTTTCCATCACGGGGCCTTTGGAGATGTCTTAAATCCACGTACTGCAGGGAATATGGTAACTCTTAAAAGGTTACTTGACTATATGTCTCAGATCCTGGGCATCTGTGAAATCCTTTCATTTTTTTTAGTAAGAATATTCTGAAAATCTTTTTATTCCCCCAAGAGACAGAATGTTTTCGTATAGAAATTAGAGCAAAAAAAAGTTCACATATGAAACTCTGTCATGTACAGCTTGCTTTAAAAAAAACAACCCACATATAATAAATTCAGCGTGTAACTCTCAAAGCTGTGCTTGTCTTGTATTTCCCTAAAAACCTATATTCTTTAGAGGTATGAATACAGGTCTAGGGCAGATGTACTCACAGACTGAGTGGATAAAAGTATGCCATCATGTCAGAAATACCCAGATTTACAGAACAGGAAATGGAAAACTTAACCAATCTCAGAAAACAAAACTGAACAAGCTATAAATAAACTTCCAAAGAAAAAAATACCAGAACAGGTGAATTTCCAAGTGAATTCTATCAGACATTCAGAGAACAATTAATTACAATATTACATAAACTTTTCGAAAATAGGAACAGAAAGGAACTTAGAAAATTCCTTCTATAATACAAATATGGTCTTGATACCTAAACCAAGGAGAATTGAAACAGAGAAAGAAAACTGTGAGCTAATAGCCCTTACAAATATCAACACAACCTTCAAATAAAGTAACATTAAGAGTAGCATTATATCAAAAAGATTACACACGTAATAATCGGTTAGATTTATACCAGGAATTCAGGGTTAGTCTAGAATAAGAAAAGTATAAACATAATAGACCATATTAATAAAAAGAATTGAAAAAAACCCACGTGATTATTTCAATACATGCAGAAAAATACTAGCTCGTATTTTCTTTTTCAAACCAAAAATGGAAGCTTAAAAAAAAGAAGTAAATATACATTTCCTTAATATGGTAAATAGTATCTCTCTAAAAATAAGAGCTGGCATTGTATGTCATGAGGATAAACTAGAGACCTTTCCAGTAGGATCAGGGCAAAATCAAAGATGTCCATTATCATCATTATTATTCAATATAATGCTATAAATGTTCGCTGTGGCAATAAAACAAGATAAAGAAATTGAGGAAATAAGCATAAGTAGAGAAGAAATAAAATTATTTATTGCAGATAATATAATGGTTTACTTAGAGAAACAATTAAAAATTATTTGGAAACAATAATGAGCAGAGTTGCAGGATATAAAATAAACCGTTAGTATTTCTGTATATTACCTATAGAATTCAGCAGGAAGAGGGAAAAAGTCTATTCAAAATAACTACACAATGCATAAAATATTTGAGTCAACCTACCAGGATATCCATGGAAATTATATGAATGTTAACTGTACAAAAGGGTACAAAGAATACAAATATGAGAGTACAAAATACTCCTGACAGAAGTAGACCTAAATGATTGGAAAAACGTTAATTGCCCCTGGGTAAGATGAACCAATAAAATAAAAATGATAGCACTACCTAAATTAATTTACTTTTTCAGGGTCATACAAATCAAATTACCAAAGAATTACTTTATAGAGCCAGAAGAAAAAAATAGAATTCATCTGGAGGAATAAAAGCTCAAGAAACTCAAGTAAAATAAAGGGGAAATAAAGTGGGAAGGCAGGGGCTAGCAGTACTAGTTCTCAAAACTATGTTACAAAGCAGTAAGCATCAACATAATAATTAAGTAGTAGTTAAAAAATAGAGGTTTATCAGCAGAACAGATTAGGTGAATTACAGAAGCAAACAAACCTAGTTAGCCTTGTGTTTAATAAGCCCAAAGAACCCCAGCTTTTCTGAGGTAAGAACTCGCTCTTTGACTAAAACTGCGGAAAACTAGAAAGCACTTCGGAAGAAAGTAGATGCAGATGAAAATCTCACACTATACACCACGAGCTTCAAACAGATACAGGACTTAGAGACGCAGAATCAGACGTGTATTTTTGGCCATGGTCTGTGTGGGAAATACTTTTGCTTGCTGCTTGCTTATGTATGTTGGTTACAAGGTAGGTAAAGTTTCTCTCCCCATAGCCCTACGCTGTGGGATAAAATAAGGAGAGGGCTCCCATTTAAGAGAGGAAGAAGAGAAGGACTCACAGACGTACAGGACAGCTTTGAAAATTACATGTTGAATTTGTCCTGTATACCTAAAAAGACAAGCAAGCTGTGTACATTATAGAAATTCAGTTTTGTGTGTAATCTCCATTTCTGCAGTGTATGTGGAAATGTTCATTTCATTTGTTTAAGTTCAGAAGAAAAGGGGAAGTGAAAAAAAAAAACAAACCCTGATATCAGAAGGAAAACCAGTACAAAGTAGAAACATGGAACAAAGTAGCTCTTTCCAGAAAGAAGATGATGTCCTTTTAGTGTACTTTGTCTATCAGAGGAACTCTCCTCTACACTTGTAGAGTTTCCTCATTCTCTGCCTAGGCTAGTGAAACAAGCAAAGTCTTAACAACCTTTGGAGTGAGCTTCCTGTGTCCTTCTTCTGTAGGTATTGACCATCTCCTGGCCCAGCACATTGCCCACCTCTTTATTCGAGACCCGCTGACTCTGTTTGAAGAGAAGATACACCTAGATGATGCTAATGAATCTGACCATTTTGAGGTATCCCCTTTTCATTCTGAATACGTTTACTTAGTGCAGGTTTATGTTCTCTATATGGATTTGCTGTGAACAGCAATCTACACCGCAATGAGGACAGGTATTTGTCATTCATTAACCAGCATAGTAAGAGACTAAGGAATGTAAAGTCCGAAATACTCTGATAAAGGGATTATGGTACACCTCACCACATTTACTGAATTGGTCATATGACCACTGGTCTGGTATTTTCCATCGTCCTCACAGTTCTTCAGCCAGTAACCAGGTCATTCAGATTTACCCTTACTAATCCAAACGGATATTCCACAGGGCAATAATTTCAGGGATATAATATAGCCTAACAGTACAGATTTTGTAATCTGTACTGATTGATTAACGTACATATACGTGTGTGGATGTATGTATACAAAAATGTACATATATATGATATATTGTGTATTAAGCTGTTTTCACCGTGCATCTTAATCCAACAAATATTAGCCACTTGCTAAGTATGCCAGGCACTACAGACACAAAGTCAAAAATGAAAAGCGGTCTCTGTCCTCAAGGAATTTATGTTCTACTGGGGGGGGGGGGGTACAGCGTGTCAACAGGTAGCCATAGACATGATCATTTGAGGAAAATGAGGACGGTAATAACTCACAGCATCAGGAAAGACTTTGTGTGAGGTGACCCTTGAAAAAAAGACAAGGATACATTCCTGACACGAGATACTTGTAACATGGTTCCTTCCAGTTCTTATATTTCTAGGTGTAGATACTTATATATATCTATAAATCTGCTTGTTTTCAGTGTTTAGCTGCCTTCACATTGGCCTGACAAGGCAGAAAATTGGTCAGTGATCTGTTTGGATAAAGTAGAGCTGGTTAAAAGGTCATTTCAGTGTACTTGTCAAGCAAAATGAATAATTGTGTTTCCTTCATAAATTGTTGGTTGCATATTCTGTTTGTCATGTGTTGATTCTTACAGAATATTCAGTCTACAAATTGGCAGACCATGAGATTTAAGCCTCCTCCTCCAAATTCAGATATTGGATGGAGAGTAGAATTCAGGCCCATGGAGGTAAGAATGCTACCAGGTTATATCAGTGGGAGTTCAACACTTGAATAATGTCCAGTAGTTAATTTTGAAGACTTAAATAATTCAGTGCAAGATCAAAATAATTTTTGGAATCTAAAAGATCAGGGGTTCTTAACCCAAGATTTTTTAAAAAAATAATGTTTATAACTGTATTTCAGTATAATTGATTTCCTTTGTAATCCTGTGGTTTTTGTATTTGCATTTAAGGCATTATTCTAAGAAGGGCTCCAAGACACTGTTTTAGACGGTCTTCAAACCATATGGGGTTTTTCAAGGAAACAGGATTGTAAATATTAACTAGGCCTCACAGCCACAAAAGTACAGTGGTTTGCTAGAACACCGAATTAGGGGTCAGACCTGAGTATTCATCCTGACCTTGCTACTATCTCTGTGTGACTGTAGGTTAGCCAGCTATTCTTAATGCCTCAGTTGTTAGGTTGTTTTTGTTTTGTTTTGTTTGTTTCTTATATGAGGAAAATACAATCTACCCTACTTAATCTTAGTATAAAATGACATGTCTTCAAGTGCTTTCAAAAAAGTTAAAAGCACCATGCAAATATGAGGTGGAATTGTGTGAGTTATGATTATTTTAGAGTGGTTATTGTCTGTATGCTTTTTTGCAGGGGGGGACATGTTTGTGTTTGGAGTTATGTCAAGACTTTAAAACTTATGAACATTTTGTTGTCTAGGTTCAATTAACAGACTTTGAGAACTCTGCCTATGTGGTGTTTGTAGTCCTGCTAACCAGAGTAATCCTTTCATACACATTGGATTTTCTCATTCCTCTGTCAAAGGTAAGAGTGAATTTCTTGATATGCTGATCATAAACCTACATCCCCCAAGTCTGAGGCTTCTTCAGCACTCAGCAGTTTGCAAAATAGAGTATGCGACCTTGTTAGAATTCCTTAGGAAGAAAGCGTTAGCCCTTCCTAAATACATCGTTGTCCTGAATAGAGCCTTCTCATCAGCATTTTCTGGTCTGACACTTCATTATTGAAAGAGCTTTGAGCTAGAAGTTTTTGGTAGGTTTTTTGCATTAACTTTTTGGAAAGTCATGGAGTCACATGAGACAAGTCCAATTTGCTTTTTAAAAATATTTTTTATTATGCAGCATCTTTTATTCCTATTTCTTTAACAAAATATAAAAACATTGAAATTTAGGAAACCTGATTGTTCATATTAACTAGGCCTCAAAGCCTAGTTGGGAAGATGAGGGATATAGAGAAGGGTATTAACCCTGTGAATTTTTCTTTAAGAGGAATTTTATTTAGGGAGTTAGTTTATTTTTCAGTATTTTATATTTAATAAACATGAAAAATATTTAGAAACATAAGACCACATGAATAAACACAAGTTAATGTTGCTCCAACTCTAGGTAGATGGAACCCTGAAGTAGGTGTTTACCTATAGGAAATGTGACAATTTTCACAAAATATTCAATTGAATTCTGGTATCTACAATGACCCTTGAAGGAAATTAACATTTTATAGAGATAACACCTCATTTTCAGGGTCAGAACCCCTTTATTGAGGACTAGATACAGTTAAAAATTTCTCTGATGGCAAATTTGAAGAAAACTTTAAAAGTGGAAGGCATTCACATGTGGTGAATAGAAAGAACAGTGAGGGGTGGGAGGCATGATTCCTAGAGACAGCTGGTAGCTCGGTAGATAGAGTACTGAGTCTGGAGTCAAGAAGACCTGAGTTCAAATCCAGACTCAGACACTTATTGGCCCTGTGACCCTGGGCAAGTCACTTCAACCCTCTTTGCCTCAGTTTGCTCAACTGTAAGAGAAAAATTAAAAATAATTCTAGCACCTAGGTTGTTGTGAGCCTCAAATGAGAAAGTATTGTAAAAGTACTTAGCATGTAGTAGGCATTTAATAACTGCTTTTCCTTTCTGCCTCTGTGATTCACTGTGTGACCTCAGGCAGGTCACTTCATCTCTGTATACCTCAGTTTCCTATAAAAATAAGAAGGTTGAACTAGATAATCCCAAAGTACCTACCAGCCCTAATGTTTTGTGAATCTGTCCATTCAGAGGCAAGGCATAATTGAGGTGGGAGTGATCCAGGAAAACCTAGGTTCACATCCCTCCTCTGACATATTCTGGCTGTGTGATTCTGGACAAATCCCTTCTAGGAAACTCAAAAGATTTTAGGTTTCAGAGACAGAGTCTCCTTTTACACCTGATATCTTGGGCCCACCCCCATTCAGTACTTTGAGGTTAAAATTTCCTTCATTTGAAATCAGCAGGTCTGATGTTTTCCCAGCTTTATTCATCATCCTTCTCAGATGAACAAATAATTTATCAGCTCTGTCTCAACCTCGTGAGGCAGTGAACTGGTGGTAGCCTTGTATTGAACTTCGTCTGAGAAGATTTATTATTGCTTCCATAACTGAAGGACCCTAACAATATATGTTTTTGTAGCATGGATCTCCAGAGGGCTATGGTGTGTTGACCCTATTTTCAGAAGAACCTGTGGTAACAGAGGCGTGTGCAAATCACCTAATGAATATTGGACACTAAAACTATATGTGTCATCTGTTGAATTAGCCAGAAAGCAATAGTAAATGCAAAATTTTTTTTGCATACTTTTAGCATTTTTTAATATATTTTTTAATATTCTTTTAAAAAATTTTTTTGAGTTCCAAATTCTCTCCCTCCCTCCAGCCCTTCCCCAACCCATTTAGAAGGCAAGTGATATATCAATTATACATGTAAAATCATGCATAACATTGCTATATTAACCACGTTGCCAAAAAAAGGCAAGAAAATAAAGTGAAAAAATTTACATTTCAGTTTGCACTCAGTTCCCTCTCTGGAGGCTAGCATTTTTCATCATGAGTATCTTGGAATTATCTTAGCTCCTGATGTTGGTGAGAATATCTAAGCCTTTCACAGTTAAGTCATTGTAAAAGTATTATTCTTACCGGGTACAATGATCTCCTGGTTCTGCCCACTTTACTTTGCATCAGTTCATGTAAGTCTTGTCAGGTTTTTTTCTGAAATTATTCTGCTTGTCATTTATTATACCACAATAGTATTCCATCACAGTCATATACCACAACTTGTTCAGTCATTCCCCAGTTTGTAGGTATCCTCTCAATTTCCAGTTCTTTGCCACCACAAAGAGAGCTGCTATAAATATCTTTGTACATATAGGTCTTTTTCCTTTTCCTTTTTTTTTAAATCTCTTTTAGATACAGACCTAGTAGTGGTATTGCTAGATCAAAGGGTATGCACAGTTCTATAACCCTTTGGGTATAGTTCCAAATTATTCTCCAGAATGGCTGGACCAGTTCACAGCTCCACCAGTAGTGCATTAGTGTCTGTACTTTTCCACATCCCCTCCAGTACAAATACATGTTTCTTAAGGAAGTCTTTAACTCTCAGCACCAAAGAAGTAATGACTTTGCCTAATTTGATGATATTTTAAAAACTCTTCCTTTTCTTATAGGTTGATGAAAACATGAAAGTGGCTCAGAAACGAGATGCTGTCTTACATGGGCTGTTTTATTTCAGGAAAGATATTTGCAAAGGTTCAAAACCTCTTTTCAGTAAGTTTAGACTTTTTCATATCCAGTTTACACTAAGGATGAGTTACTTAATTTTCTCCTCTCCCCATCCCTTTCCCTAGGTGGCACTGCTGTGGTAGATGGTTGTAGTACAGCCCAGAATGGTACTGAGACAGACACTGAAGAATTCACATTGATGAGCATAGATACAATCATCAATGGGAAGGTAGAGTTGGTTGACCTGGTCACAAATTCTGTGTTGATGTAAGTTATCAAGAAGAAAAATAAAAACCACGTGAGAACTTTTTTTTTTTAATAGGAAGGTGTTTTTCCTGGATTGATACCAATCCTAAACTCTTACCTGGAAAATATGGAAGTAGATGTAGACACAAGATGCAGCATACTTAATTACTTGAAGCTAATTAAGAAGAGAGCATCAGGTATGTACGGTGTTTTTTTTTTTCAGCTGTCATACAGCAGAAAAACTTGATAATAATGTTCAGGGTTTTTTTTCTACTATTCATCTTATGAAATTAGTCTTGCCTAGAAATCTCAGACCCATTCTTATCTTTAAATAGATTATTAATATGTAGTATTAAATAACCAGTACCAGTCCCAACATATACTGTGTGAATTTAGTTGATTTTTTTTCCCTGTGAATGTTCAGTGAACATGTAAATAAAAATATGGTTTTGATTAACAAGCCAAATAAGAAATGTTCCTCTTTTAGAACATATAATTACAAATTTTCCCACACATTTTTTCATATTGTTATGTGGTAAGTCATAGAAAGTCATGTAATAAACATTTGGGTTCTATTTGGGGAGAAAGTTTGGGTTTTTTCTCTTCTCCTTTGGTCTCAAAGTTTAAAAATAATTGGCTACAGACCTGCCTTCTGATTACATCAATCAATGAACGTTTATTAAGCACTTACTTTGTGCCTAGCACTGTGCTAAGTACTGGGAATAAAAAAAAAAGGCAAAAGACAGTCCCTTGTCCTCAAGGAGCTTACAGTCTAATGGGGGAGACAACATGCACAAACACATGTATAGAAAGTGAGCCACATACAGGATAAATAGGAAAAATTAATAGAGGAAAAGCACTGACATTAAGAGGGGTTGGGGAAAGCTTCCTGCAGAGAAGGTAGGATTTTAGTTGGGACTTAAAGGAAGCCAGGGAGGTCAGTAGTGAGAGCAGAGGAGGGAGAGCATTCCAGGCATGGGGACAGCCAGAGAGAATGCCTGGAGTCAAGAGATTGTCCGTCGGCCCAGGAAGCCAGTGTCACCAGATCAAAGAGTAAATATTGGGGAGTGAGGTGTGAGAGGAGTGGCGAGGTGGGAGAGGGGGCTAGGTTAGGAAGGACTTTGAATGCCAAACAGAGGGTTTTCTGTTTTCTCCTAGAAACATTGGGGAGCCATTGGAATTTATTGAGTAGAGGGTGCTGACATGATTGATCCTGCTAGGGTCATATTCTGTTAGGCAGAACTTGGGGGAAATTCTCTTCCTGAGGCATTCTCCCTCATCACCAGAACTGGCTTAGCATTCCAGTGATGCTTCAGACTATGCTAGGACCCAGCTCCAGGCAGTTTTCTTTTGGCGCCCCCCCCCCGCCCCAGCAAGGAATTAAGAACTAGATACATTATATGGTATGGGGTCAGATGAGTGTGAATTTGGGACAGCTAGGTGGTGCAGTAGATAGAGCACCAGCCCTGAAGTCAGGAGGACCTGAGTTCAAATTTGGCCTCAGACCGAACACTTGGCACTTATTTACTAGCTGTGTGACCCTGGGCAAGTCACTTAACCCCAATGGACTTTTTAAAAAGTGTGAATTCCAGGTGATCTGAATTTTCAGGTTACTGTCACTTATATTCTTGTTGATAGATTTTTCCAAAGGGAAAAGATGTTGTGTTTTACACTGAATTAGCCTTTGAAACAGCTAATTTTTTGAAATGGGCAAGTTGGATTGCCCACTGAATGAGCCCAAGCCCCTAGCCTCCAAATTCTCTTATTAAATGTGCATCTGATGCTTAGTTCATTCTGCATTCTTCATCTAAGCTTACACCTTTGTCACCTTGGCCCTTAGATTTGAACTCTGTTACTACTATCCTGATAATGAGGGAGCATCATGCAGGGATGATGATGAGAGCCAGGTGAAAGTATGCCACTGTGCTGAGTTTTCAGCCTCACCTGGAAAAATCCTGGCTGAGCACAGCAGCCTGCTCCTCTTATCTGTAATTACTAAAATTGTACATGAAGCTTGATCACTGTTGGCACATTTGCTTGTGTTTCAGATGCTCTTTTAGGGCCAAATGTCCCTTCTACTTCCCAAGCCCTCCCCCCATCCTTATAACAACCCACTTGGTCTAACTCTCTGGAAAGTGTAAATATTAATAGGTGTAACTATCCTTACCCCAACTGTCCTCTTTCTCTTAGCTTCATCATGGTTACAATGCTTTTTGTTCTCCACTTCCCTAGGTCAAAAATCAGTCGTTTGAAAAAACCCAAGACGTTTCCTTACAGCTGTATACACCAAAGGGTGTCTTCAAGAGAAATATCCTAGCACACATAGAAGCATACCTTCCATTTTTCTTTTGAAGGAAACTTTTCTCATTTCCCCAGAGATCTGCTTTTCCCATGACAACCATAAAGGAAAAGAAGTTTTTAGAGCCCTTACTATATGCTGAGCGCTAGAGGTTGAGATAGCCCTTCACCTCAAGGAGCTCCCATTCTAACCGGGAGTTTTATGTTCATGTTTAGTTCATGGCAGATGGAAATACCAGTTTGCATTAGTTCTGCAGGGAAAATAGCAGGAGAGACGGCAAGGCCTCAGGAATCTCGGGGAGCAAGGGCTCCCCTACCAAGATGCTTGTCTCCCAAGAGGATAAAGGGTTCAAGGGTTAGAGTGGAGTGGGTGGCTGAGACACCTCCGGCAAAGAAAGGGATGGATGGGTGGGTGTTGGCATCCAACCTTAGTACTCCCATTAAAGAAGGGGGGGGCATTATTGACACTTTTTGTTTTTGTGACACATTTTATCCTCTAAGTCCCTTTTTCCCACTTAACAGAGTCATACATTTAGAGCCAGAAGGGCCCTTGGAGTCCATCTAGCTTATTTTACATATGAGGAGACTAAGGCCCGGGGAGGTTTAAGTAAGAATTTACCCAAGATCCCACAAGTTGTAAAATGGCAAAGGCAGGATTTGAACCCAGATCATCCGACACATCCTGGTACTTTTCCTGTTCCTCCCTTGTTTATTTGTTTTGTTTTGGTGAGGCAGTTAGGGTTAAGTGACTTGCCCAGGGTCACACAGCTAGTAAGTGTCAAGTGTGTGAGGCCACATTTGAACTTGGGTCCTCCTGATTCCAAGGCCAGAGCTCTGTCCACTGCATCACCTAGCTGTCCCTCTCCCTTATTTTAAAGGAAAAGATTTAACCAAAGCCAATCTACATGGAGAGTAAGTGTGACAGCATATATCACATTCCACAACCGAAGTCTTGAAATGTGTGTTTCACCATGTGTGTTCTAGACCAGGATTAATTTTAAATTTAGCTGCTTTTTAATCTTTTCCTTTGCCTTATTATAGTTGTTGTATATGTTATTTTTTCTTCCAGGCTCTGCTTGTCTTCATCAAATTCATATGTGTCTCCCATTATTTTAAAGTTAACTGTTGACACTTAGATCTAGTTGTATCTAAATGACCCCTTTTTGTGTAGTTCTTCATTTTTAATCTTTTTTCCAGGAGAACTGATGACAGCTGCTCGATGGATGAGGGAGTTTGTTGCAAAGCATCCTGACTACAAGCAAGACAGTGTCATCACTGATGAAATCAATTACAGCCTTCTTTTGGAATGTAACAAGATTGCAAATGAATTAAGTGAATGCCCCGAGTTGCTTGGCTCAGGATATAAGAAAGCAAAATACAGTGGAAATAAAACTGGCTCTTCTAGTTAGGTATTTTGTTGCCTGTCCCCACCCCACCCCACCCCCAGCTAAAAAGAGTAGAACATCTGAGTTACGTTATTTGAGAATTAGCTGCAGGACCATGACCATTGGCATGGTGTGAAGACCAAAATAATGGTACTGTGCCCTCAGATGGGCCAGTGAGCCTGAAATTCACTTAAAGACTTCCCAGGTGGATATAGAGTTTATATAGTACACGTGTACATAGTGAAATATTTTTATGATCAACAGTGTATTTTAATAACATTATATCTAAAGTCTTTGTGAACTGGCTTGTACATTTTTTTAAAAATCCTTACTCTGGGAGGAGCTGCTGTCCAAACCAGTTTTGTAAATGTAATGTACTGGTATCCATACATTATACGTGCATTCCAGAGGTTGAGATGTTTACTGTACATTTTATTGTTGCTCTAAAGGATCTACCTTGTTCTAAAAAAAAAAAGAGAGAGAAGCAAACAAATTTCATCCTTAGGCCCTGATTCACTAAAATTTCCCTTATGTCACTTTAACGAAGTCCAGACTTCCCCTTCTTGATTGATTTTGAATCAGCTCATTGAATCATTTTTATAACTCCAAAAGGTTTTTACTTTGTAATCTTTGCTTTCTAGCACCTTATGTACTGTGCTTCTTTTTAAAGGGAAACAGTGAAGGCAGGTGGTCACCTTTGACCCAGAGTTTTGAGACTAAATAAAATCCTGCTGTGGTCTAATGGTATTCGTAAAGCCAATCATTAAAGACTTCACAGATTGGAATTACATAGACAAAAGGGTATCAACTTAGTTTTTTCTGGGTAATAAAACTTCCTTTAAAAATTATCCTCAAGCTTTTTTTTTCTTTTTCTGTTTTCTATAAACAAATATTAAAAGGACTGGAATTTAAAGTTGGGGCTGCCAAATAATTCTGCACCTGAAAAGGCTTGGATTTTTTGCTCTGGGTGCCCACCTTCACTTATTTCTTTCTATAGATTTGCCAATCAAATAAAGCATACAGTCCAACTGAAGGCCCAGAATTCATCATTTGTCACTGTAGTCCTTGAACTCTTGTCTCTTCCTCCCTCCCCCAATTCTGAATAGCCCCATTTTCCAGTAAGCATGTAAACAAAGCTTTGCCTTCTAAAAGCCATTTGCCCCACATTTTAGCTGGGGAAACACATAACTATGCACTGCTTACTTTCTAGAGGAAACTTCAAAGGAAATCATGGAATGCACTAAGTTTGTGAATCAGGACCCTACATGTTCAATTGTAAATAATGAAAATTTAAGATAATTGCTAGTTGTCACTAGTTTGTGGGGATTTAAAAAAAAGACATAGTTAAAATTCATAATTGCTTCTAAAAATGACAATGTATTGTAGATGATGCAAATCTTAATACAAGCGTAACTATTTAAGTCATAAAGCTAATTTTAAAAGGAATTATAGTGACGCTGCTCCTGGTAAAAGCTGTTTATATATAAATATTTGAATCTGTGCTCTATCCATAGCTTGTAATGTAGAGAATTAACAGTTCTCATTTTCTTTTGCAACTGGCTTGTGCTAATCAGGTTGTAAATGACAGATAAGTTTGTGGTACAAGAAAATAAATAAAAAATGGAATTTGCATAATGTCGTGTGACTCTTTAAGTAAGACTCTGAATGGCTTCTAGGACATTTCGTGGATCATGGGCTTAAAAAGGAAATCACTAACTCTTTAAAAGCTATTTCCAAACCAGTAAGAAAAGGACTCCCATTTTACCTACTTGTTAAAGTAAAATTTAGATGAAATGTTTTACAAAAATGGGAATTATTTGGGAAACTTAGTGTTGCATAAAGTTTCACATGGAAATCTGTGAAATGTACAAAAATGGAACCGGAAAGTTATTCTAGGCCTGTAGGTTTTCACAACATATATATGGGCAGTCAACAAGTATTTATTATGTACTTACTAGGGGCAGCTGGGGGGAGGGGGTACAGTAGGTAGAGTGCTGGGCTAGGAGTCAGGAAGACTTGAATTCAAATCCAGCCTCAGACACTTACTAGTCGCTTTATCCTCCATCTGCTTTAGTTTCCTCAACTGTAAAATGGGGTAATTAATAGCACCTACCTCCCTGAGTTGTGAGGATCAAATGAGATATTGTTAAGCACATAGCATAGTGCTTGTTACTTAGTGCTGTGTAAATGTTTTATTATTCATTTGTTTCACTCCTGTCTGACTCTTCATGACCCCATTTGAGGTTTTCTTGGCAAAGATACTGGAGTAGTTGGCCATATCCTTCTGTTCATTTTACAGAGGAGGGAACTCGGGCAAACAGGGTTAAGTGACTTGCCCAGGATCACACAGCTATTAAGTGTCTGAGGCCAGATTTGAGCTCAGGAAGATGAGTCTCCTGATTCCAAGGCCAGTATTCTATCCACTGTTCCACCTACCTCCCCTATGTAAATGCTAACTATCATTATTACTATGTGCCAGGCACTGTGCTAAGTGCCCTATTTCTTGGTGATCTCCATTGCAAAAGAATCTGTTTGCAGACAATTATCACCCTCATTCTCTCCCTTCTCCCCCTCTCCCCCCACATACACACACCCACTGTAGCAAAGGATATTAAGCAATGATGCTAAGGGGTTTGGAAGAGTGGTGTCGACCAGAAAAGGGAATCCACAGTGGTTCACCCGTTTTTCTCAGTTGAGTAGAAGACAAAGGTGTCTATTCTTCGCAAGAGGGGAGGAAGTGGTGTGGGAGATGGGGGAGGACAGGCTTGGCACACAGCAGATGAGGGGAGTAATGGTCAACCAGGTCAACCAGGGATGATTTTTAAAATGACCATGCAGCTGTGAGGGCCCAAAAGAGGTTAGATATATTTCTAGTGCATCCTTTTTGGCATGGCTGGTGCCTCTGGCCAGATGGGCATGTGGCTGTCTCTTCCATTTGGGAGAGAGGGGAATAAAGGACTATTTAACATGTCACTTTAGAATGGTTGCTAACCACATCCTACATCCTCTCCACCACATACTACTATGGTAACTGACAGATCCTGCCTTTGTTGCGTGGGGAGGGGGAGTAGGAGTGGACAGTTACTACATACTGTGTGCCAAGAATTATTAATGTTCTATGGTTGTGAAACCTAGGGTCTAGAAAACAAAAGATGCAAGATACTTCAGCCATCCAAGAGTGAGGGGAGGAGATGGAGTGGAGCTAGGTGGGGCACTGGATAGAGCATTGGACCAGGAAGTCAGGAAGACAAGTTCAAATTGATTTAGACATTTACTGTGTGGTCCTGGGCAAGTCACTTAACCTCTGTCTGCCTCAGTTTCCTCATCTGCAAAATAGAGATAACAATAGCACCTCCCAGGGTTGTTGTGAAAGTCAAATGAGATATCTGTAACTTTGCAAACCTAAAAGGGCTAAGGATTTATTGTTATGAGTGGAGTGGGGGAAGGGCTGAGGAAAGGTTTACACTGGCATTGCACTACCAGTGATGTGGGAATGAGGATGCACAGAAACAAATCTGATAGGAGGATCACCAGGGAGTATGGGATCGAACTATGAGAGAAAAATGAGTCTGGAAGGGAGAACATTGCAATGAGGAGGGTATTATTGCAGCTCAGACCTCTGGATTTGGGGCTAGTTGGCCTCCAGAGAGGAGGTACTCCAAAGGCCAGTATAGGGCAATAGGACAGAGAATAGGTCTAGGTTAAAAGGTTAGTTAGTACTAACCATTCTACCTGGCCTAGACCCTGGGTTTCATTTGTAATTCTGTTGCTAACTCTCTGTGTGACCTAGAGCAAGTCACTTCATCCCCTCTGGCCTTCATATTTCTCATCTGTAAAATGGGTTTGGGTGCAAAGGTGGACTAGATGATTTATAATGACCCTTCTAGCTCTAAAATTCTCAGTCTTCTATGAATCTGGTGCTGAAGCGAATAGAGTGCTGGACCTAGAGTCAGGAAGACTCATCTTCCTGAGTTCAAATCTGACCTCAGACACTTCATAGGTGTGTGACCCTGGGCAAGTCTCTTAACCCTGATTGCCTCAGTTTCCTCATCTGCAGAGTGAATTGTAGAAGGAAATGGCAAACCATTCTAGTATCTTTGCCAAGAAATTCCCAAATGGGGTCACACAGAGTCAGACAGACTGAAAAACGACTAAAGACAGAGAGAAGGGGTGAAAGGCTAGAGGCTGCTTCTAAGAGATAGCCTGAAGGTGCACAACAACCTGTATAATGATTTGTTTATATGTGGAGCAAAATATCCCAGAGATATGGGTTGAGGACTAATAATAATAATAAACATTTACATAGCACTTACTATGTTCCAGGCCCTGTGCTAAGCACTTACAATTACTGTCTCATTTTATCCATATAAGAACCCTGGGAGGTAGGTACCATTATTATCCCCATTTTACAGATGGGGAAACTGAGGCATGCAGGAGTTAAGTGACTTGGCCAGGATCACACAGCTAGCAAATGTCTGAGGTCGGATTTGAACTCGGGTCTTCCTGATTCCTGGAGCAGCACTCTATCCACTGTGCCACTTAACTGGCCCCAATAAATAAAGGAAGTAAATTCTAGAGAAACCTGGGCACCTGCAGCTTCGTCAAAATGGAATTCATTCTGGGGCAGTTAGGTGGTGCAGTGGATACAAAACCGGCCCTGGATTTAGGAGGACCTGAGTTCAAATCTGGCCTCAGACACATAACACTGTGTGACCCTGGCCAAGTCACTTAACACCATTGCCTAGCCAAAAAACAAACCAAAAAAAATGCATTCATTGGCTAAAAACAAGAACCTACCAGCTATTCGGATAGTATTGGGCTGTTGAACTCACGGGACAAAATTTTATTGAATCAGAGTAATCAGCAGGAGAAGGAAGCACTGGTAGGACTTAGTTTCTTTGTGTGAACAGGTAGCAGAATTAACCAATAAAGCCTTGTTGTAAAAATGTCTATTATAACAACAACCATTTCTAAACAACACCTAATGTGTTCCAGGCACTGTGTAAAGTGCGTTACAAATAGTATCTCCTTTGTTCCACACAACAACAACCCTGGGAGGTTAGGTATTATTATTAAATATCCCCTTTTTACAGTTGAGGAAACTGCAGTATACAGAGCTCGGGTGACTTGCCCAAGGTCACACAGATAGGAGCTCAGGCCAGATTTTAATCCATGTCTTCCACTGGGTCACCTAGGTGCCTATCACCATTACTATTTGATGGGGACTAGACCTATGATTTCGTTGCTATAGAGAACTCCCATAAGATAATTCCCTCTATCAATGTAGGTCAATACCTTCTCTGCATTATATAATGGTAGAGAGTTGCTAGAGCACTACGAGATTAAGTGTCTTGTCTAAGGTCACACAGCCAGGATGTGTCAGAGGCAAGACTTGAACCTAAGTCTTCCTGGCTCGGTAGACCACACCATGGTACCTCCGTTTGTTTGATATAATTCTAGAGATGCTTGCCATACAATAAGACAAGGAAAAGAAATTGAGGGAATAAGCATAGGCAAAAAAAGGAAACAATTATTACTTTTGTTGCAGCTATGATGATCTACTTAGGGAACCCTAGAGATTTAACTAAAAATTAATTGAAAGGAAGGAAACAACAATTTATTAAGTGCTTAGCACTTTAAAAAAAAAGCTCTTTATAAATATTATCTCATTTGATCCTCACAACAACCTTACAAAGTAGATTCTTCATTATACCCATCCTACAGTCAAGAAAACTGAGGCAGACAGAAGTTAAGGGACTTGCCCAGAGTCACACAGCTGGAAAGTACCTGAGGCCCCATTTGAATTCAGGTCTTCCTGACTCAAAAACCAGCATTCTATCAACTGCACCATGGAGCTACCCAATGCAAAGTAGCAGGATGTAAGATAAAACCACACAAATGAAACTTCATTATGAGGATCAAATGAGGAAATGCATACAAAGCCTTTGGAAAACCTTTTATGCTATCAAAATGTCAGTGATGATGATGATGATGATAACTGGGTCTCAGAGGCTAAGAAAGGCCAACCAGCCACTTTTCCCTCTGATACCTTTATTTATTAACTAAAACTTTACCCAATATTCAAAATTATTTTGTGTCTTATGAAAAACACTACATAATTGAATTCAAAATAGGTGCTTTCACTTCCTCATTGACTCAGAAAAAGTAACTCATTTGGATAAACATTTGAAACTTGCTATAAATACTTCTGGAAAGATGCAAAGGTGAATCTTAGAGAAACTTAAGTATTGGAAATGAAGCACAAGCCAAAAAATGGGCCAATACACACACACACACACACACACACACACACACACACACACAACCAACAACAACAAACTGCAAAATTTTCCAGAGGCTCCTTGACTTCCCTTTCATTTGATGGATAAGTGTACTCACAACACATTTCAGGTATGTTCTGTTACATTTCCTCTTACAAGAGGCATAGATTCCCCAAAGGATGGATTATGTTCCCAGATTCCTCAGGGCCTAGAAGATTGTTTTACATATGAGAAGAGGGACTGTCCAGCATTCTTTGGTGCAATGAATGTTTCCTTATTTGTTTTTTAAGGAAAGAGGAAGAAGAAAAGTAAATGAGGACTAGGGAAGCTTCTAGTAGATGTCTATGAGTGTTC